TCCTAGTAAAGTACATATTGTTTTATTTTTTCTTTTGGGGTATGTGCATGTGTATGTGTGTGCGCGCGTGCGCGCACGTGTGTGTGTGTGTGCATTTAATGATTTGGGAAATGCAAAGTAGAGATGAAAATATGAAGTTGATTTTAGTCTGATTAAATATTGAGCTACAGAAACATGTGTGATAACTGAATGCCATAACCTTGTGCCTTTTAGTCATGGTTTTGCAACTACGGAGGGGAATTTATAAAAGGCTCCACAACATGGAGGCATAAGGTTTTCCCAGGTGATTGTAGATCAGACATTCAACCCTAGAGAACACCTTACTAGACTCACTTGTCCCACAGAGCTTGACAGAGAATACAAGATGTTACAAAAACACATTTTTGTATTAGTCATGTCTATGGCACACTGCCATTGCCTCTGTCATATGTTTCAGTACCAATTACCACTTCCAGAAAAAAATATTATATTGGTACCAAAAAAAAAAGTCTCTCACTGGTAAAAAATAATTTAACATTACCAAAGCTACATTGCCACCTGACTATTGAACCATAAAAGGTGACAAAAACTATTAACAAGAAATAATCTTTAAAGAACAATGATATTGTAAAAAGATGCTGGCATATATATGCTGGTAAAAGAAAATGAGTTTCGGCTGACAATGGAGGTATAAAAGTGGAGCTGCCTCCTGTGATACACAAACAGCAATCACCGTTTCAAATGTGCTGAGGGACATGAAGTGCAGCAGTGACCGTATAGATACAAACTTGTGAATACCTAGAAAAAGATGAAAAGGGACTTTTTAAAAACAGCCCAGGTGACAGATGATAATGGCATAGACTAGGTTTGTGATGTGGCAGTAGATTAGGCAATTTAACCAATAGGAGAAGACGTGGGATTGGATGCAGAGAAGGAAAGAATGACTCACAGGTTTTTGATTGAGTTCTAAACAGATGGCACTGGGAATAATGGGTGAGAAACAGGTTTTAGGTCAGAGGAAAAATCAATAACTGTTTTTAAACATCTTAATTTTAAGAGGGCTACTAGAAATCTAATAAGAGATACTGACCATGCAGTTGAAGATTCAAAACTGAAGTTCATAGTGGATACTGAAGAACAGTTATAATTTTGCAAATTATATAAATGGATGAGATCCTCTAAGGAAAAGGTGAATAGAAAGAAAAAAATATCTTTTTAATTTTCCTTGTAGAGAAACTGATGATATGTGGAGAATGGCAATTTTATTTCTTGTTCTCTGATGCTATTATCTTTTACTTTTTCCAGCTTCACTGGCATTCTTATGATTTCCAGAAAAATAGTGAATAAAAGTGACTTTAGTAGACACCTATGCTTGTACTTAAATGACAGCTTTTCAGTATGTGGTCATTAAATATAATTTTTTATTGGTTATTTTGAAGACAACTTGTCTTGGGTTAAGAAGTTCTTTGGTCCTAGCTTTTCAATAGCTTTTTTTTTTTTTAACTGTTAATGAATGTTGAGTTCTTTCTCAAATACTTTACCATATTCATTAATATTATGATATGGTTATTTCTTTTAACAAGATCTATTTATGGAATAATTTCAACTTGGTGATTACATATTCTTTTATAAATATATTACTCCTTTTGTTTGGCTAAAATATTTTATATAATTTTCCAACTCTGGTAACCAATTAAGTTAGTCTCTAAATGTCATCACCAAAACTATCCTTAATGAGTTTTATATCAAGGCTATGTTATTTGCATAAAATGAGTTGGGAAGATATCTTATATTTTCTATTTTCTGAGAAAATGTATGTAAGCTCAGAATTATATGCTTCTGACATCTCTCTTATAAACTGTTTGTAAAGCATTATGGGCGAGCCCAGTTAGTTTTCCTCTAAACAATATAAATTTATTATGAAGATTACGAATAGGTATTCAATATATAAATTATATCAATTGCTTAAATAGGTATCACTTACAGATGGCTTAGAAATTTTAAAAAGCCTTCTAAGTATCCTTTTAAGTATTACAATGACATGAGAGGATTGTTTCTCATATCATCCCCATTTTACAACTTGAAAAACTCGAGCTTAAAGACTTGAAGAAGCCTGAGGTCATGCAGTTAGTACACAGAACAGCAACTACACATCACCATGAAATGTCTCATTCCAGAATGTGCCATGTCCATCATGTTATTTTGACAAATTTATTATAAAAAGGACAATTTGCTGAAAGTTAACTTTGCTTACTTTTTAAACATAAATTACAATCATGATTATATTTCCACAACTTAGGGTAAATTGAAGGAGCTATTTAAATAAATGGAAATACAGATGTCTCATTTCATGTCTTATGAATATGGGAATCTGCTTATTTAATATCTATGAGAGTAAAAGGACAAGAATACAATAAATATCGTCAAGTAAATATGATTTAACATTAAAGTAATTATTATTTTATCACCAATAATATTAGTTATCTACTACCACAGGACTAGTAACCTCCAAACTTAAGTGACTTAACCACCATTTTATTTCTCAAAATTATGTGAGTCAGCAATATTCTTTTGGTTGGCTGGTAGTAAGTTGGGAGCTGAACAGGTGAGGTGCTGCATGGATGAGCCTCACTTTCTATCTGATTTTTCATCCTTAGAGAGGCTAAAATGGGCTTCTTTACATGTAGTCTCTGGGAAATGTTCCAAAACAGCAAAAGCAGAACCAGTATGGCCTTTTAATTCTTAGCTTCTGATGCTACACAGCATAACTTTTGTTACATTACATTGGTCAAAATAAATGACCAGGCAAATCCCACATTCAAAGATGGAAAAATAGATTTCACCTCTTCATGGTAAAAAGCTGCTAAATCACACGGCAACTGAGCATACATAGACACATAGATCATGGTTTCTTCAGGGCCATTATTTTAACAATCTTTTACACAAACTAAGTGACAGCTTGATGCCCTGCCTTTTGAAAGGTAAAGGCCATAATTTTTTAACCTCATACTTAGATATAAAATATATGATGTTGGTTTGAGAGCCTCATACATCACTCCAAACCCTTTCTGCGGCATTTTAATGAAACTAGGATGCCTTCATCTTTACAGAATATAAAAAGAGATCCTCTGAAATGTTGCAATCTGAGTCATAAAAGAATGTAGGCACTAATAAAAAATATTTCATCAGATGTCAAAATGAGAAATATTGAGATAAATTGTTGGGATAGAATTTGTAAATAATCCATTCGTTTTGATGGTATTACTAAAATAATGACAAAGAGAAGAAAATAGATTAATGCAAATAGTCTGTATTTTTTTTTAGCAGTAGACTTTTTCAGCAACTTTGATTTCTCTGTGGAAACATACCAATGGCATGCTAAAGAAGGGAGAAAGCACTAAAGTCTGCTCTGAATTTTAGTTAAGACACACTCAAAATCACAAATTGTCTTTTGAAAATACATACCGTTTTAAGGTCCTGATATAATATCCATTTATAGAACACTTAATATGTTTCAGACATTATTTATTAAACCCTTACTATTAACCCTAATAAAACAGAGACATCATCTGTATGGACTTTTTATAGGCAGGAAATAAGGCAAAAAATATTAATCTGCCTACCTGTCTTAAGAGTGGCACTCAAATTTAAAGTCATCTTTTTTGATATTTCACTTAGTGCTAATGTCATGACTGTCATTCAAAAATTTTGTCATAGCAAGTCATCACCATGTATATTGAAATTTTTTCAAAAATATTCCTTTTCTTAAATAACAAAAAGATAAGGCAGCCTTGTTACAAAGGTCTTTTTAATAAATTTGATGAAAGCTAATAATAATGATACTTTACACATATTTTTCCATTTAATTTCACAAAGCCTTCTACAAATGAGGTACTGTTATTTTTAGTTTTCAGTTTAAGAAATGGCCTTAGAGAGGCCCTAGCACCTATCATACTATATAAATCAGAATCTCTATGATCAGTACTACAGAAATTCTTCCAAAAACATACTAACATGCAACCACAGTTGGAAGCCATTACTTTAAATTGTTTACTATATACGGTTAGGAAAAAAAAAAATTGATCACACAAATTTGGGGATGGCTAGAGCAAACTGAATAGCAACCATTTCATAATTTTCTTATCATTATATCAAAATTTCCTAGTATTTACAATTTTTCATTTCAAAATCATATACTAATAGGTAAGAATTTAAAGATATGTTAACACATTTTCAGAAGGAAATACATTTTGCTGACACATTGCTAAAATGAATTACATTTTAATGACTTTTTTTGATGCTTTAGACCAAAAGTGCTTTAATTAGAATATAATGTAAAACATGGGGTCATTATGACTGGAGGAAAACATGCATATAAACTACTGCTTAAATCAAAATTAGCTTTTTCTTTTACAGAAGCATTTAAGAAAAAAAATCAAGTACAATTTTGCTGTTCAATTTTCTAACAATTCAAAGTAAAATATCATGTGATCAATAATTTTAAAAGCAGTAACTTCAAAAATTTCACATGCATCTTTTTCTTGAATTTTTTCAAAGTCTACTCCCAAAATTAACTGTACTTAAATATATCTGAGTAAATTTCAATGTGTTAGTCTATTGCATGGTAAGCCTACATGTGTATTAAACAATAATCTATAGCCAAGTATTACCTATTTATGTGTAAATTGATGTATAAATGAGTAGATATCGCAGTTGAAATTTGTGTCTATATTATGCATAAATATCCTACTACTAATACATTTAGGCTTATTAAGGTATCCAGTAAGTTAAGCTACTAAAATCACCAAGTTATATAAAAAATTAAGACCCAATTAAAAATATCTTATCACATATTAAAGTAGATAAATCCTCTCAAATCAAGTAAATGATTTTTAATGATCATTTTCAGTTCTTTAGAATTTTGAATATTTTACGTTGGCACTTACTTCAGAGTCATAACTCTTAAACCACTATAGGAGTTTGAGGAAATTCGATGGATCTCATTCAAGATAAAAACTTACCAGCAAATTTGATGTGAAATTTATTTTCAGGCTTTAATATCTGGACATACAAAGGACAATTTGGAGCAAAATCTTTCACAGCCCATGCTCTCAAAATTGTTTGGTGATCCTGAAATGATCAAAATAAAAATATCTTGTCATAAGTTATCATTTTTATAACACATAAAGTAAAAATAAGCAATCAGTTTGCTTGGTCACATCCATAGTTAACACTTAAACATAAAAATTACTGTGAGGACTTATTAAGGGCACTTGTTATGCTTTTTTTTAATTGTACTTTAAGTTCTGGGTACATGTGCAGAACACACAGGTTTGTTACATAGGTATACAGGTGCCATGGTGGTTGGCTGCACCCATCACCCCATCATCTTCATTAGGTATTTCTCCTAATGCTATCCCTTCCCTAGTGTCCCACCCCTTGACAGTCCCCAGTGTGTGATGTTCCCCTCCCTTGTCCATGTGTTCTCATTGTTCAACACCCACTTATAAGTGAGAACATACAGTATTTGGTTTTCTGTTCTTGTGTTAGTTTGCTGAGAATGTTGGTTTCCAGCTTCACCCATGTCCTTGCAAAGGACATGAACTCACCCATTTTATGGCTGCATAGTATTTCATGGTGTATATGTGGGGCACTTACTATTTCTATAAAAGAAGGTAATAACAGCTAATTCAATCATAGCTAATTACCAGCACTTAGAATATTAGCAAAGGTTAAGAGAAAAATAGCTAGACAGACTTAAAAATAATTTTCCTAGAAAATGCCTGCAGTCAGAAGCCTTCAGACAAGTAGCACAACTAATAGTTTGTAATAGGAATTTCCAAGGAGAAATAAAAAATGTACATATAATGTCAACATGCTTAGAAAATTACTTTTTATATAATAGTAAAGGTAAAATAATTTTGACCCGTGTATGGGTGATGGGTGTGTTTATGCGTGTTGTGCTGACTTGTGAGGTGTGTTTGAAGACATAAAAAACTCTTGAATATAATAAAGTATATCAAAAATGTTTTTAAAAAATGCTTAGCCTGAGAAAGAAAATCAAAACCATGCTTAACATGAACTCCTTTCCATAGTAGTCACCCCATAAATTCTATGAATTGAAAAAATCAAGGAAGATTATTAGAGAAATGTGCCACAGAGTTAGCCAATACGTTTTTTAAAAGGAAGCACAAAGGTCCTCTAGGATAGCACTGTCCTTCTAATAGCCACCAGGTACATCAGGCTATTAAAATTTGAAGTAACTAAACTTAAACAAAGTTAAGAATTTAATTTCTCAATCACACTAGCCACATTTCAAGTGCTTAAAGCTGCACATGGCTAGTGGTTGCCATATTAGACAGTGGAGATAATATAAAATGTTCACCATCACAGAAAGTTCTATCTGACAGCACTATTAGTGAAAGGAAAGGAAGATCCAAAATACAGATAGACATGAGGGACTGTTTATCCAAATGCAGACAGAAGAAGTTGTTATTTACGGTTGGAAACTGCTATGGATTGAATGATTCTGTCTACCCCAAATTTATATGTTTAAATCCCACCCGCATTGTGAAGGTACTAGGAGATGATGCTTCTGGTAGGCCTCATGATAAGGCTAGTCATCGTGAAAGGGATTAACACTCATAACAAAGACACGCAAGAGAGGTCTCCCTCACCTGTTCCGCCACATACGGATGCTGCAAGAAGACAACCATCTAGGAACCAGGAACCTAGTCCTTACCAGACGCTAAATCTGCTGGCTCCTTGATCCTGGACTTTCCAGCTTCCAAAATTGTGAGCAATACATTTCTGTTGTCTATAATCTACCCAGTCTATGCTATTTTGTTACAGCAATCCAATTTAAGATAGTAACTTTAAGTTACATGAAAGTTGGTGAATGATAGCCCAGCATGGTTTACATGGACCATACGTATTTTACAGGCAAACATTCAAACATCATAATGAGCCTAATAATTCTAAGACTTATCAAGTGAATACTTGTTAATCCACATGACACGCTTTGAAATCTGAGGTTTGAGAGTTATAGATAACTTAGTGGAGGATTATGTTTATTTGTCTTTCACTAGAGGTAAACAATTTTAAATGAAAAGGAAAAAAATAGAAAGTAAACCACTATATATGTGAAAGCATACCAAATTATATTTTTTATTTTATTTTATTTCATTACGTTTAATGTCGTGTTGAAGATAAGGGGCTATTCTAGGGTTTTTACTCCTGCTTTGTCCCTCAATATCTAATTAGACTTGGACAAGTTAAAGTTCCTCGTTAGTAAAATGTAGATATTCTGCATCTTATAGGACTGGTGAAACAGACAACACGCATATAACTTTTAATAGTGATTGGCAGTCAGTTGTTTAAAAAAGATGTTTTCCTTATTATATTATCTTAGTAATAGTAGAAGTAATATCATTAAGAATAAAAGATAAAGAACAAGGATTAATTTCTTAGGAAGAGTTTAAAGTGAGACTTGTCTGCTGACACCAGTAAAAATGTAACATTAATAATAAAAGAAGAAATATAGAAGGGCAGAGGTCTATCAATATGAAAGAATAAGCTCCTAATAAATTGTCCTTGCATATGACAACTGTCAAAAATCTATGAAACATCATACAAAGGCCCTATAACATGAACTAAAGTAGGCAGATTTTAGAGGAGAGGAAGTATCTTGCATGCTATAATTTCCCCGTTTTTGCTGCTGTGACCTGAGGGCAGCTGTGGTTATCACAGCAGCACCAGTTGGCTAAGGATTCACAGCAGCCCTGCCAGAACTAGGGCCTGGAGCAATCAGGGCCACTGGAGAAGGGAAAAGGGTGAGGGAGCAAAGAGAAACCACAAATACTGTGAATAAGTGTAAACATCTTTGGCTGACTTCTGAACCATGAATGCATGGGGAAGCATAAAAACAATGTGAGCTGACATTTGTGAAGCACTGCCAACATCAGTGGTGATGAAGTTCGCTTTATTTTGGGTTGAACCAACTTAGCTTTTGCTAAAACGAGAGCATTAACATTCTTTGGAAGAATACAGGAGTATCCAAGTCTCCACAACATAACACAATATCCAAAATACAATGCTATATTACTCAATTTATGAATTTTCAGAAAAATGTGACCTATTTGCATGGAAAACAAACAAAATGACAATCAATAGATGGTAGCTACTAGACGCCCTGAGATGTTAGAATTAGCAGAGAATGACTTACAGCTGCTGCTAGAACTATGCTCATCAAGGAAATGAAAAACATTCTTGTAATAAATAAAAAAAGAACATTTCAGCAGAGTGATAGAAAATATTTTTAAATTAAAAAACTGAAGTTCATGAAAAAACATATTCACTAGAGGGCTTTGAAGCAGATTGGGAATGACAGAAGAAAGAGTCGTGAACTTGATCATAGATCAATAGACTTTACCCAATTTGAAAAACAAAGAGAAAAGGTAAGGAAAAGGGAACAGAGTTCAGGCACTTACGTAACAGTGTAAAAAGGTCTTACATAATATAATTGAATTCCCAAAAAGAAAACAAAAGAGAAAAAAGGGCAGAAAATGAAATAACGACTGGAAACTTTTTAATTCTGTAGAAGACATACATTTATATGTATATATCTTCTTTATTTATTTACATTTAAAAACAAAAAGATAACCATGCCTAGCCACATTTTATTCAAACTGTTAAAAAACAAAAACAAAGACAACATCTTGACAGCACCCAAAAAGTCACATGGCCAAGGACTCTCAGTAGAAATCGTGAAACCAAAACAACCAAGAAAAAAATTCAAAAGTTTGGAATGAAGGAAAAAAAAATAAAAATAAACCTATAAACCAGAATTGTATATCTAGCAAAAACTCCTTCAAAGAGGAAGGTGAAATAAAGGACTTTTTAAAATAAAGAAATCTAATGAAATGTACTGACATTGGAATCATACTACAAGAAAAGTTCAAGAAAACGTATATACAAGCTCAAGAAAAGTGATACCAGGGAAAAAGAACTTCAGAAATCAAACAAGCATTAAATGACATGCTTAATGTTTGAATGACTGTAAAAAAAAAAAAAAAAAAAAAAAGAAAAACTGTTTTCTCTTAATTTCTGTAAAATATACAATCTGAATAAAGCAAAGGTTACAATATTGTTTAGTGTGGTTTCTAATCTATGGGTATATTATTATACCTAACGACTATAACATAAAGGACAGTAGGAAAGGAATAAATGCAAGTTTCCAATTTTAACAAGTGGTACAACAATGACAAGAAGCTGACTATGAGGCAGTAAGGATGCATATAATAGTCCCTAGAGCACTTAAAAAAAATTCACTTTAAGTCCCTAGAGCACTTAAAAAAAATTCAAAAGGCATATCTAAAAAGCCAATAGATATATTAAATTCAATGCTTTACAAAATCAAATAATAAAAAATGTGGGAAAGGAAAAACAGACAAACAAAAATCAGAGGGAACAAACAGAAAACAATTTAGCTAACGCTATATCTAACCATATTATGACATTAAATGCTAATGGACTAAATGTATTAAAACACAAAAATGTGGATAGCAAGAAAACAAACAACTCAATCAAAACTGCACAAAAGATTTAAACAGATATCTGACCAAAGAACGTATAGAGTAGAGGAATGAAAAGATACTCAACACATGTCATTAGAAAGTTGCAAAATAAAACAACAAGACACAACTAAACACTTTTCATAATGGCCAAAATCCAAAATGCTGAAAACACCAAATACTACAGAGGATGTAGATCAACAAGAAGTTGCATTCATTCATTGCTGAGGGCTGCGAGGAGATGCAAAATGGCACATCAATTTTGGAATACAGTTGGACAATTTCTTACAAAACTAAGTATACCCTTACCAAATAATCCAACAACTGGACTCCTTAGTATTTACCTAAATGAATAATAGAAAATGTAGATCCGCACAAAAACCTTCACACTCATGCTTAAAACAACTTAATTTATAATTGCAAACACTTGGAAATAACCAAGATGTACTTCAATAGATGAATGGATAAACCGTACTACATCCATACAAGGAAATATTCCACAATGCAAAGAAATAAGCTATTAAACGAAGAAACGACAGGCAAAACCTCAAATGCATA